TAGTGGCACTTGGACCCTGCAGGGCCATTTGGGCCTACTCCAGGGAAGGGATGCTGTGTCAGAGCTAAAGAGTGCACTTAGCATTCTCTGTTTCTCCCAAACAAACATGTGCGGGGGGTGATATGATACTGTACAAAAGCCTGGACAGCATATAATATTTCAAAGCAATTTCCTAATTGTTTCCAGGTTGCTGCTTATATGAAGACAATCCCTTCTTTTTAAATGTCTTTCTCTCTTTGGGTTGTTCTCAACCACAGATTGGGAAACATTAAAGTGTTAAGTAAACTTGACCCAGGCAGTGTTAATTCATTGGGAAATAACCGGAGTTAAAACATTTGGTGCCGTATCAGTGACAGTCAGTCGCTGGGTTTCTGCCTGCTTGGATGGTCACCATATGGCGATGGGGTTTCTGTGGTTCTGATCCTGAAACTTCCAGTCCCTGAATAATTACATTTGTTGTCTATGGTGACAACAAGCTTGCAGAAGGGGTGACAACTGAGTGAGTCTGACACAAGGGCAAAGGTGTGCGAGGTCCAGGGATAGTCCAGCCTTTATCAAGTGGGGCTCTGCATAGATGGTATGGAGAGTGAATATCTTACCTGCTGTAGATAGCTTTAAGAATGACTTGGGTTTGAAGGAACTGAGTTTAGGCTCAACAGGACTGATGAACTAACAAGAAAGTAAATGTAGTAAAGCCAAAGTGGAACGTGTTGTCTCCAAACAGCGTCAGTCGCTCAGATTTCAGAGCAGTCAGTGCAGATGTTAAAATCACAATTTATGGTTAATTACATGAAAATTTGTGATTAATCACTGAAGCATCACAGTCTAACAGTTCTGGTAAAACTTTCTGTCAATTCCAGTGGTAACTTTGGATAGTAATACGTGATACAGCCTGTGTACAATACATGCTCAATACATACTGGGCATGTACAGGGCTGTGATGTGTATTGCTATGTACCAGATACTGTAAATACTGAGTATAAATCCAGATATGAGTCCAATACATCCCTGGTACAGAGCAAAACTGCTCCAGTCTCAAAACTTTGGCCGAGGATCATACAAACACATTATTATAATCCTTTTCACAGCCAGAACTCATGTACATCATGACTATATGGAAAAAGTCTGCAGATATTTGCAGGATCAAATGATGATGGCAGCAGCTAGCTGCAGAGATTCTGCAGCTAGCTGCTGCAGAATCTCTGCAGCAGCTAGCTGCAGAGATTCTGCAGGCTGAAGTCGGGGGGGGGGGGTTAGAAAATATCCATCCTTCCATTTTCTTTACCCGCTTATTCCGTTTTGGGTCACGGGGGTCGCTGGTGCCCATGTCCAGCAATCACTGTGCGAGGGGCGGGGGACACCCTGGACGGGTCGCAAGTCCATCACAGGGACACACAGAGACAAACAACCATTCACTCTCTCACTCACACCTAGAGACAATTTAGAGTTACCAATCAGCCTAACATGCATGTTTTTGGATTGTGGGAGGAAACCGGAGTACCCGGAGAAAACCCACGCATGCACGGAGAGAACATGCAAACTCCACCCAGAAAGGCCCCTGGACCGGGGTTTGAACCAGGGACCTGCTCGCTGAGAGGCAGCAGCTCTACCAGTTGTGCCACCGTGCTGCCCTGTTAGAAAATAATTATGCATAAATAACTATGAAACAACAAATTGACTATGATATCGTTTGTTTGTTTTTCAAAAATAACATCTAAAACTGACACTTACCTGACTTGTAGCCAACACTTACCCAGTTTGTACCGACTGCGTACTGAATTATGTCTACAAACTGGGTAAGTTGTAATATCTGGAATATCTTACAAAAAGACCTGAAGCTCTCGACCTTGACCTCTCTAAGTGGCTTTAAGAATCTGTTGGACTCCTGGCAGGGACCAATGCAGACATGTTCCTGTTTTTAGTTTTCTACATTCACCTTATAATCTAAATGTTTTTGCTACTTTTATTGCCATCTTATTTTAATTTGTAAAAAAAAAAAAAAAAGAAAGAAAATCTGTACGCCTCTTTAGTAACTGTTTATTGTTGTCGCTGTTGTCCATTGTTGTCATCATTCTTTGTTGAGATCAGGTCTCTCTTGTAAATGAGTCCTCGAGGCTCAATGGGATTAATCTGTCTAAATAAAGGTTGAATGAAAAAAAGTACCAGATATGTACTGGACTGTATTATTTAAAGCTACATACTGTGCAAGTACCATATATACTGGGCTGTATTATGTATAACTGTGTACTGTGCAAGTACCAGGTATGTACTGAGCTGTATTATGTATAACTGCGTATAGTGCAAGTACCAGATATGTACTGGCTGGGCTATATTATATACAGTTATGTACTGTGCAAGTACTAGATATGTACTGGGCTCTATTATGTATAGCTATGTCTGTGCAAGTACCAGGTATGTACTGGGCTGTATTAATTATAGCTACATATTGGGTAAGTTCTAAGTACATACTGGACTGTACTATGTATCGCTATGTACCCGGTAAGAAACAGATACATACTGGACTGTATTGTGTATTGCTGCCATGTTTGTAATATTTCTGCAGTTTCTGGAGTAATGTAATGCAAAATTATCATCAATTTAAACATTTAAATAAAATCTGACATGAAATTCTGAAGGTGGTTTGATGGTTGACAAGTTAACGAGTCCATGGTTTGTCCAAGTGGATGAAATTCCAAAGTGGATCACTGCTGTCTTAAAACAACTACAACTATCTGAATTTCATGGCAGTTCAGGCTAACACTACTTTTAAACAAATACTTCCGTGTCAATTTCTCATTACACAGACACAAATAAATAAATAAAAATTAAACCCACTCCTGAAATTGACTCGGGCTGCACCATAATCGCTCCAGCTAGTTGCTGTTGTTGTCATTTACACTGGCCAACAAGGTTTATGGATCTGTATGTTCTGCTGCAAAGTTTCTGTCAGAGATTTATAATGTTTTAGGACGACATCCGTCCATGTTGGTCTTGACTGCAGTTCAATCAGCCGTTAGCTTCTGAGTCCAGTCTGACCAAAACTCTGTGTCTCTGAACTTAGACTGTTCAAAATGCTATCTACAACAGGTAAGATGTTTGCTCTTATCAACCGTTTACCAACTTCAAAACGGCCTGAGTATTCCCTTAAAGCATTACATTAAATTAAATACACATTTCCTCTTTTTAGCTCATTATATTGTAAATTGTTGGACCTTTCTTATTAAAGTGAAATACAAAAAGTGCAAAATGGCGTTGACCACCAGAAGTTTGAGACTTTGTTTGGACTTTTATTTGTACAGTAATGTTGTGGAATAGTTTCCAGTAATATATGTTTATAAATGATCTTATATAACATCATTGTAAAAACTCTTTACACTCTAACTGAATGCACCTCAAACTCAGATCCGATATATGCTCATTATGAGGTAGACATTAATAATAATAATAATAATAATAATGGTATTTTCCACCCTCTGCAAAGTATTGAAGACACCTTAAATTACTCTCATCAATGTAAGAAATATATGATTATCAGGAACTCTGTACATCACAAATAATAAAATAATTATACAATAGAAATTAGACCGATTTGAGTGCATTTTGTATATTTACAAAGAAATGTTGTTTGCTCATTTCTTCATTTGTTGCACTTTGTAAAGTTTTTGACTGTACAAGTATTTACAGCTCAAAACACAAACAACAACAGCAGTGCATTCAAAGCTAATGTGCATTTAAATATTGTCTCCAGTCTTTATA